TGCCATGGTATAAGGTATTCTACAACACTGCGGTGCCAGATCTTATATCTTATTGCTATCAACCATCCACCCAACAAAGGCAGGACATAGAGAAAACACTCTCTTGATCTTAGCAAACAAAATAATATGATGCAACTACTAAAAATGAAAACTAAACACAATAGGGCAGGAATGCCTATAATTTCTGCTCCATGAGAAATATGCTAGCCAGTAAATTTGATCTGGCTTCATGAAATATCCCCACCTCACACCAAGAGTGGTTTCCAACCCTGGATAACCCAAGTGTTCTTGGACCACAATTCTCATAAACCCTAGCTACCACAGCTGGTGGTGAAGGTTTCTGGGAATTGTTGCTCAAGAATACCTGGGTCATCCAAGGTTGGGAACCACTCCTCTAATTCATGCCATTTTAAGCAACCAGTGCAGAGACCTTCTTCAATAGAACATCACCAATTTAAGCAAACTGTGTGGCCAGAGCTTAAGCTAAGGGTTATCAATATCTGTAAGCTCAAGGGTCCCTCTTCTCAGATGCGGTCCAGAGATGTATTTTATTACACCAAGTGACTGAGGAGTGTGAAGAAATTTCTAAGGAAGGGGCATGAAACTATACATTTACATATAGATTTATATATTGTTGCCAGCATAAACAAATTTCTGTGACAGACACCTTTAGCAAAATTCAGTATTTCTTAATAAAAACCTATTGTTCTTATTTTTAATATAAAATTATTTTATTACATATCTGCATTTCTTTAGTTTTTATTTTATTTGTTTGTTAAAAGAGGTTTGAATACTGGTAACAGAGAGCTGAGGAGACATAAGGTTGGCAAAAAAAAAATGCAAAAGGGGAATGGATGCCAAAAAGGTTGGGAACAGCAGTTTTACAGATTCATATGGTCAAGCTGAAGCCAACTAGCAATAAGGCCCTCACTGTTTTGGCATTTAGGCACACCCTGAAAATTACACATAGATTCCAAGAGAGAAATGTGACATCAAACTATGAAGCCACCTTATTTTTCACTACTTGAAAATGTTTTTGACGTTCACCTGTGAATGAGACTCTGGGCAGGCTTTGAAAAATATCAGGGCCTCCTAGGGACAGATAAATTGTGTCAGAGGCCAAATATACCTGAAGGACAACAAGTTAGTCATCTCAAATGCATCTCACCACCAGAGGCAGAGAAAAAATGGATTGGGAAATCTTCATAAAACCTGCTACACCTCAGAGTGGGCCCTCCTTCAAAAGGGTCAAGACACAAAGAATGGCTGCCCTCTCTGACAATTAGGATGGCAAAATTTGGAAAAGGTGGTGCAGTTTAACACATGCTCTTTCTCATAGAATTTGTATGGCTGTCTCATGCAATAGGATGTGGTTGGAGGCACAGGTTTCCCAACCTTGGTTCAGCCTTTTAATATTAATAGGGAGCTTTTATTCAGGAAATAACAGATAACTGTAAACTAGATAAAATATGATAGATAGATATACAAAATACACTTCCAGAGAACATAGGGAAGATTTCCTACCCAGAGCACCTTCACTTGCTGCCGTTTAAGTTCCAGATATATACAGAGAATGCACCATCTGTATCTTCTAGTTCTATGAAGCACTACAATGCACATGCATACACAATAGTGTCTAAGTAGAAGCTGTGCTACATTCTAAAGATACCATGGAAGCGAAATCAGGCAGAAGAGAGGGAACCCAAATAGACCCTTTGAGTATGTTGGGTCACTGCAGAGCTTGTCTATGTTTATCTGTACAGCCTTGTTTCCTATACTGTACTCACATATGCCTTGATCAGACTGTTGGCACTTATAATGAAATGGTGGCCGGGGGGGAGGTCTCAATAAAGGGCTCGCTTCCTTCTCACTTTCACATTTATCATTTATTTTGTATAAAATATTTATATCCCATTTTTCTCCTGAAGGAATGAAGGTGGCCCCAATTATTTCTGGGAATCTCGTGTGGTCTTTGTGTACTGAAATTGGCAGACTAGCAGTGTACAGTACCTCCTACATATATTTATGGTATTTTATCTAGTTTACAGTTATCTGCTGTTTCCTGGAAAACAAAGCTGCCTATTAGTATTAAAAGGTAAAACCAAGGCTAGGAAACCTGTGTCTCCAATCACATCCTATCACATGAGACAACCACACAAATTCCATGAGAAAAGCAACATTAAGGGATACTCTTGCTACAATAACTTTAGTCCTCACACAGAAGCTAAACAGTCAGTTGCAAAGAGATATCTCATATGTTAGAGAGCTAAACCAGGATATTCTACATGAGCTGAAACCAAGTTAGTCAAGAGGCAGAAAACCTAGTAAGGACTTTTTTGCTCATAACTCCAAACTAAACTAAATGGTAGCTTAGCATTGGCCGTATGATTAACAGTGAGCCTCAAATTTCTCCATGCCTTTGGTGGCTATCTTAATTTATTGAAAAAGTCAACTTCAAACCATGAGGAATAAAGCCACCTTCTCCCAACAACCAGTTTGCAATTTCAATCCAACACTACACTACGGTTACTCTGAAATAGAAACAGAAACATCCAACGTCATCTCACTCAAAACAAGAGAAGGGAGGGAGAAGTGATTTGCCGCCGTTTACATTTGTAACAGTAAACTATGGTTTAGCGTTATGTGAAAATGCAGACTATGTCTTAGTGCTGAGCTGAAATCCTGTTTGTAGCTCAAGCAAAGTAATACCTTTCTGTCAGTTCCTTCCTGGTAAACAAAGTGCCACTGCTCTGATTCTCAGGGGAGACATATATGCACATGCTGGCTTGGTGCAGGAATGCACCCCTGAGAATTGCAGCAGAGTGCTTTGTTTTCCTGGGAGAAACAAGCAGAAATCAGTTTATACTATGAACAGGACTTCCCCCATCCACCCATATTATGTTTAAGATACATTGACAGTTCTTAACTATTCTAAAATGTACTCAACCTATTTATATCCTGCCTTTCCTCCCCTGAACTTATATATCGGGTTCCTGAATGTTTTCCCCCATCTAGATCCCAATGAAGAACCAGATCAGAGTCAGCTTCAGCAAAGTTGCTTCATCACATGCACTGGTGACCCTTAATACCATTAATGTTAATGAAAAACATTTCATTGACAATGAAGGGGAACAATCACAGGACAACCTTTGGCCTTGTGATTTATACAAACACACAGTTAAAAGGAACCAAGTCTGATAATCTTACCAAAATGTCCAATTCATTTATGTATTATAAGGCTGTCTACGATTTGGTGATGTGGACAAGCTCTTGTGAATATCCCAAACTCAAAGATACATTGGAAAACGCTGACTTAGCCAACTAATTGAAACTGTTAGAATTCATGGCCGGGGGCAGGGAGGAGTCAAGGGGAGAAAACGAAATAGCTGAACTACAAGAAATTCACAGATTTCAACAGAGACAGCAAGCACTGATATATAAATACCAAGGTTCACCAAGTTTTGGATTCCTGATAAAATATATTCATACCTATACATTTCTACTATCTTGTATCTATCTATCTATCTATCTATCTATCTATCTATCTATCTATCTATCTATCTATCTATCTATCTATCTATAGAGAGAGAGAGAGAGAGAGAGAGAGAGAGAGAGAGGTCACTTTTTTCAAAAGGCAGAATTGAGAATTATTTCCCCGTTTTCCCTAATGTGGCCCAAACCCTTTCAGATTTGGAGCATATAATCTATAAAGAGCAATTGTCACTGAAGTCCTATGTATCTTAATGCCGTCTGTGCAAGAGCAGTACTCTGGAAAGTGCCCCCGAAGTTTTTCATTTCCCCTGCTTTCCTTGACAGCTGTAGAAATGTCACCTTGGAAAAGCGGCAGCTGTTAGGAATTATCCACTTAGCTGAGCTCTCTCCCCCCCCTTTAATTTTATTGCAAATGAAGGCACAAGGTGGGAAACGGAGCATGGAAGGAGGGGTGAAATCTTGGAGGGGCTCCCCCTCCTATATGTTTTGCACAGATCCAGGTCTAGTTACCACCTTAAGAATGAGAGACAATGAAAACTATTATAAAATTCCCCTGTTCTTCCTATTAAAAGGTTCCTGTTAAGACAGCAGTGGTTAAAAAGATGCAAGCAAACTCAAACAAATGCATACATTCAATGACAAGAAAACTATTTTAAGAAAAGCAATGAAAGGAGATTTGATAATAATCTTTCCTACCACTATATCAAACCAAAGGAATAATTCAAGAGGCCATGAGCATAAGCCTATCAAAAGGAGACCATTCACTTTGAAGAAGGGCAAAGACAAATAACATGCTGTTACAATTTGCCAAGGCATGGATGAAATAAACTCATGAATTGAAGGCATTTTGAGTTTAATAAACAATGAAAAAACCAGCCCTTTTCTGTATTTCCTTTGCACACACCCTTTTCTACCCAACCCTCACAGCCTCAGCAACTTTACTGCATTCAAATCTTTCACCGGTTTCAAACATATTCCACTCAAACAATTAATTGTTTCCCCCCCAAAAAAGTCACTTCAGTGACCTGCCTGTTGGAACAAACAATATAGCTATTATCATTAGTTTACATTTTCAAACCCTATTTGATTTCATTATATATCGTTTTATTTAACCAGGGAGGGTCTGTTTTCCCCCTTTTTTAACAAAAACAGAATGTATTGCCATAAATAGTTGAACCACAAAGAAAAAATTAAAGTTGTTCTAATTGCTTATTTATTTTGCTCTAGTCACAGCTGGGGAAAAAAATACATTAGCCCCTAGCATCCGTCAAATTGCTGCATGTTTGCCTCTGTTGGCAGGCATTTTAAACGAATAAGAGACCAGTCTCTACTTCATTTATGTGTGTGTTAATGAACTAGAGGACTCGGCGTCGCTCACTTAAAAATCAATGGTGATGCAACCACAGACATAAAATCGAGTTCAACAAGATGTCCATGCAAGGCAGTGCTCCAGAGATAGCAGCACTAACACAGCACCAGATATTGGAACATATTTTTGGTGGAATTACCTGAATCTCTCATTGCGTCTGGCTCATCCCCTTCTGCATGATGATGATACGAAGGGGGGGGACGACGACGTTCAGCCGCTTGCAGGCAGGAGGCGACAACCAGGAAGCACAGTTGTGACAGAGCTTTGTTCTGCCTGCAGTGAATTACAGGAAGCCAGGGTTAGACAGCAGCAGCAGCAAATTAGGAAATCAAAGTACTGTATACTTTTTTGCTGGGAAATGCACACTAATTGGAGATGGCGGGGAGCGACTGACAGGGTATATGTTATTGCACGATTGCAAATCCCTCCATTTAAAGAACATGCAAGTTTCTCATGTATGTTCCCCTATCTCAGTGTCACTCTCTTAGGAAACTGCCTATCCTTTAGCAATACAACCCCCCCCCATGCCAGTGAGAGAAACAGACACCCTGTAGCTATTACAGATTAGAGTTGATGTGGATGGAATATAGTTGTCTAGATGCAGCTATATATAAATACAGTACAGCCACCAATCAACTTGCATAATCATATGCTGTGTTATTCTCACCTCTACTCTTTTGCAAGCTAACCACAAGCTTTCTTTAAAAAAGAAGAAAGGAAGCTGAACCAAAAAGAGTGTGTGGTTTGTAAAAAAAAACAAAAGCCTTACCCCTCCTAACCATGAGGAAACATGCAAACCCCTTCTCTCACTTCTTTTTTTTTTTTTTTTGGCAACCCGCAATGCTCATCTCTACCCCTCAAGCTCCTTGCTCTTTCGCCTTGCCCTTCCAGCGATCACTTCACCCCTGTCAAGCACAATCGGCCAAATGAAAAGACCTCAACATCTGTCTCTTCTTCTCCTGACCCNATGCTGGAGGTACAAAAGAAAACACACTACACCAACCCCCACCCCACCCCCAAATCTGCAGCTGGTTGGTTTACAGGCATCATCACCACCAGCAGCCCCCGCTTTCTTTACAAGCTGGGAGTGATTTCTTACGCCGGGGGGGTGGGGGAGAGAAGAGATGTATACTACCGTCCTCGCTGCCAGAGAATGAGCAGGGTGGATGGAGGTGGAGGATTGTTCTTTCACAGATTTGGCCGAAGCTCGAGGAGGCATTTAAGGACATCCCTCACCACATCAACGCGCGCACACGGTCTTGCCAGTGCTCAACCCCTTTTCCCAGCCCTCCTCCCCAGTTTACAGCCTCGATGCAACATCTTTTATATGCCTCCTCTTCGGTACTTCGTCGCAGGCGGCTTCTTTCCTCCTTCCCCCCCCTCCTCCACCACTCTCACACTCCCCTCTCCCTGCAAAATCAAGCCTAGGAGACACACACACAAAAGCCAGAGAGGTGGGAGCACACTGATCAGGCAGGTTTACAGTCCCCACCCTACATTTTAATGAAAACCTAGTATCAGACACAGCGTACGATCAATTCCCCAACAGCAGTCCCCTTACCCCGTCCGATGCCGCTTCTCAAGACCCTACAGCACAGGAAGGACATTCAACAGTTTGGATACAGAGGCTAAAGGGTTACGGGGCGCACACGGCATACTCACTGGCCGGCTGCTGCGTGGACGGATGGATACTATACGTTACCCCAATAAAAAACAAAACAAAACACGACCTCCTATTACCAAAGCAAGCCGGCTTGGAAGCTCCGACCTCGAGGCTCCTTTCGCCCTCCCGCCCCTTTTCCCTGGTTTTGTTTCTCATGGAAAAAAAAGAAAGCACACACCTCTCCCTTGCACGACTCCAGCCCCACAAGCGTCCCCTGCAGCCTTTGCCTGAGCCACCCTCGGCGCACACATTGAAGAAGGACGAGAGAGAGCGCGGGTTTGTTTGGGGGCGGGGAGGAGGGGGGGAGAAAAAAAGGCTCGAAATGTTAGGCGAGCGGCGGGAGGCGGGGCCAGGAAACCCCGCCCCCGGCCTTCAGCCCCGCCCCCTGGCTGAGAGAACGGTTCGCTTTTCCGCACCTCTCCGCCTTACCTTTAGTCTCCAGGTCTCCCCCCCCACGCGCACAGACCTCGGCCGCTGTTTCCCGCCATTTCCGCCCAGGTCTCGAGGCGGCCGTGCAGCCTGCGACATAGTCCAAGGAGGCAGGGGCCTTTTTTTTTTCAGAGGCGGTGGTCTGGTGAACTGGCACCGTGAAGCACGAGCAGATTTATTTGCGTTAACATAAGCTTTTGGGCAGGTAGGGTCTACTCCTCCAGAGGCATGCAGTATTATTCTCCTCCGTCGTACAGACCCATACACGAATAAATGTATGCACAGGGCTATATGGTATTATGGGGAAGATGGTAGTGACTGCGAAAAAGGACAATCTGCAGTTTACTAACGACGGATGATTATAAACGGCCCCAATAAATTAAAGCGTGCTGAGTTGGATGCAGCCTTAACTCGCGCGTGGAACAGACTCGCGGAAATCGGTCCATGAATTGTTAATCGTGATGAAATCCCATGGATTTCAGTGGGCCTGCTCTAAATGGGACTAAACTTTATCCAAACGAGTCCTTACTTAATTTTTTTGCAGACACCCCACAGTTCAGTTGTAAAACAGGCAGACGTTCAATAGGCAATGCCCCATCACTGTTTTACCCTTGTGGTTTGGAGGCATAGCAGGAAAGCTGCTGTCTTTGGAAGCTGCATCCTCTTAAGGAACATTAACGAAAATAAAGGAGAGCAACCCTGTGCATGCATGAGTACAAGGCATCATCACCCTGTGCCAAGTTTACAAATGAAGCACTGGTGCCTGATGCCAATGTTTTGGAAAAATCATCTTTCTTACAGCATTCTGCTCTCAGACACTTCACTGGTCTCCAGTTGGAGCTGCTGACCTCCCCACTGCCACCATTTTTTATGAGCTCCACCCGCAGTCTGAGAGTCAACAAGTGACACTCTCCCCATTGCTTTACCTACAGGCTGGAAAAAAGCAGCTGCCTGCAGCATTTCAGATACCCTGACACTATCCTGTAAAGAATCTCTGTAGCCCACCATCATTCAGGAGGAGACACAGAAATTCTCAACAAGGCAGGAATCATGTAGTTTTGCTATCACTGAGGCAGTGGCTACTTGCCATTATGAACCTGTTTTCAGTACAGTCCCTGCCATGAGCATAATCTGTAGGAAAACATTAATCTCAACGTACAGTAAAATAGACTGTGCCCTTTGCTTCACTGTTCAAAATCTTATCATGGGCTAGTTGTTGCAGTTTACCGTATTTTTCCGTGTATAAGACACCTCCGTGTATAAGATTCCCCCCCCCCACTTTTCTAATCCAAAATTAAGAAATCTAAGTGGGGCTTAGCAAGTGTAGGGGGGAAAGGGATCAAAGTGCTGCAGGATCGCTTTGATCCCTGCTTTCCCCTCCACTTGTTTTTGTTCTCTCCTTAGCTTACTTCCGTGAATAAGGCGACCCTCAATTTTTAGTCTAAAGATTTTAGACAAAAGTATACTCTTATACATGGAAAATATGGTAATTCTGTGTGTGCATATCTGTTTGTGCCTTTGAAGTAGTTACCTTGTCATAATTTGCTTCAATAGGGGGTGGGCATCTCAGAAGAACAAAGGCACCATTTGAGGGCTTGCCCTCCCAAATGGTGAGGTTACAGGGGAAAGGTTTTGCCCCAAGAGGCAAATTTACATATTTCTATTATGCAAATAAGTCCTTACGTGCTGTAAATGGGGAACTAAATGGTAATGAAACCCTTTCTAAAAAGCGGAGCTTAATCTCTTTTTGAAATGTGACTGAAAAAGCTCCTCACACCTCCTGGTGACTCGGGTTTTTTAAATAAAAAATTTAAACATTTGAGGCTATGCATGCTGTAAGGATACAGAGGATAGAATGACAGACTAGGACTCTGGAGAACGGTTTGAATCCCCACATGGACGTGGAAACTTACTCGGAGTATGGAACTGGTAAAACCACTCCTTTTATGTCTCGTTTACCTTGAAAGCCCTATTAGGGCCACTGAAACTTGGTTCTGACTTGACAGCATAGAACACACACACAAATAAGTAATATAATTTTACTGACTATTGTTCTTCAAGTATGTCAAACATTCCAAAACATATTAAGAATTACTATTTGCAATTGTTATGTTTAACTCACTCTGAGCCGCCGCCACCCCAAAAGCAAGACTGTGATCTGTAATTACAGGGTCATAGTTGTCGCCTTACGTTAAAACTGAGTTGGGAAAAAATCACATTTTGCTATTATATAACCAGAAACTGGGGAAACTAGTTTCCACAGTTTATAGTCTGACAGTGGGTTCATGGATTGATCTGAAACTTGGCTATGTTGGAGAGGTCAGTTTGAAGATAATCTGTGCTGATCTTTAGACAGAATGTCACTGAATGATTTATTTATAGGACTTTAAACTTTGACAGATGACCTTCAACAATTTGACAGGTATTGCCCATTTTCTCCCCACAAACTTGCTGGGGTTAATTTCTTTTTTGCCTGATTCCTCCATTTGCACAGTATTTTTCAGGACATAGCTATGCTAGTCTGCAATCTTTAGTAACAAAAAAAGAAGAGCCAGGTGGCCGCTCAAAGACGAACACATTTTGTTTGATATAATCTTTGATGAACTCCTGGCAGTAGCTCACTTTTTCAGATTATGATACAACTGAAGAGGTCAATTAATGTCCAGAAAAGCTCACATCAAAACGTGTCAGTCCTAAACATGCCACAATTTTCTCTATTGTATCCTGAAACAGTCTGTTGTGTTAAATAAGGGAGGAATGCTAATATTTCTTTACTCTAGCAGTGGTCCAAAAGGTCTATAATATTAAGTCCATTCTATTCCTTGGACTTAAGCTCTGCTCTGTACATGGTTAGTGTGGGAAAATTGTATGCCTTTAAAATGTATATATCTATGGCAGTAGCAAATGAATATTATAAATGTATATAAATGTATATATCTGTATGCTAGTAGCAGGCATCATGCCCTAGCTGCAAGACACGTACATAACTGCTAACTTCCAGTAATGGATAAATCATTGACCTGCTGTCTATTGTCTCTGGATAATGTAGTTAAAGTATTCGTGTATTCAGGAACTTGTCTGTGTATTTGGATGGTATCTGTGCCTGTTTACTATTAACTGTCTGCTTACCAGCCTGTGTGTTTACCAACCATTCTGTTTACTGATGCTTGTGTATTCAAGGAAATTAGCTGTCTCTAACTCTGGTTATTCTGTTGTGTATTCAAGAAATTAGTTACCTCTGTATTGATTAACTTGTTCAAAGGTAGGGGATACAATAAACTGAGGGGAGGCTGGATCGAGAGAAAAGAACTCCCACTGAACAGGTGCCTCACGGCAGGCTGTTCTGTATTCATCCGGATCCCATCCTGAAAACCACACTCTGTCTCGTGTCTCTTTTCCTTTCTCCTTGCTGGTTGAGGAGAAAGATCCCTGCCCTGAGGCTTCATCTGCAAGACCCCTACTTCCTCTCATCTTGCAGATCCCGACAGGTTAGTTTTGCTGTCCCAAAGTTCCAGATGATTTATGTAGAAATAAGCTGCCTTGGATTTGTAAGTTTATAAGTCTAGGGGAGATTTATGCAAGTGGGATTTTGTGATTAAAAATTATCTCAGAGTTCTGGACATGTTTAGAGTAATGTTAAAACAATAAACACCACTTCATATTAAAACACATATCTCTTTTTGGAATAAATGTGTGTTGTAAATAGGTATGTTAAAGTGCATTTTGTAGAATATAAATATGTTATTTTGACATCATCTAAGATAAATTGATTTTTTAAAATCCTTCTTGTTCAGCCATAATCTAAACTGACTCCTTGTACCATCAGCTGCACTTTTTAAAATAAGACAGCCTTTTGAAAATATTGGTTAATATCCTGGTCTGAATGTGAGGGACCTCTGGCAGCCCCCCTCTTGTGTGATCAGTCACAAAATCAGAGTCTCGGCATGCAACAGGAAGTATGACAGAATGTTGTGAATACTATCTATCTATCTATCTATCTATCTATCTATCTATCTATCTATCTACCTACCTACCTACCTACCTACCTACCTACCTACCTACCTACCTACCTACCTACCTACCTACCTACCTACCTACCTACCTACCTACCTACCTACCTACCTACCTACCTACCTACCTACCTACCTACCTACCTACCTACCTACCTACCTACCTACCTAC